TTAGTAGTAGTTTGCTTTATTTCTTATATGCGCCTTTTTAAAATGAATAAATTTTAAAATTTTTAGTTTTAAAAAAAAACCAAAAAAAAACATTTAAATGTGAAGTGAACCATTTGTTGCTTAATAAATTTTTTTTATGATCCATCGATTAACAAAAACAACAAAAAAAAATTAAGCCAAAATATATTTTGAAAAAATGAGAAAAAATTATATTTAAAAAAATGGAATTTGCAAGAAATTTATTTTGAGAAAATTTAATCTTGAGAAATACGTAATTAAAAAAATGAGTAAGGGGGTAAAAATGATTTGAAAATGTTATGGTGGGAAAAACCTTATTTTAATTGAGGTTTTAACATTTCTGACTAGGTAATTTGCTATGATGGAGTGTTTGAAACCTAGACAGGTGAAGGCAAATAAATGAAATAATAATATTGATCTTATAAGAAGTGCCACTTAAAGGCGTATCATTTCTCTCCATTTCTTTTTCCCCTCTTCCTCCCTCTCTCACTTCTTCCACTTTTTCTGTCCTTCCCCCTATCTTAGTCTTTTTCTAACTCTAAAATCGATCATTAGTTTTTAAAAAAATTAAAAACATAAAAAAAAATTTTCTTTTATTAATTAAAAGATCAAAAGATTTTTTTCAAAGGAAAAACCAGTTAAATATTGAAATTTATTCATTTGTTAATTACTTTTATTTTTATGTTACGATTTTATAATACTCCTTTACTATAAACGTTTAGTTTAAAAAGTATAATCAATATAATAGTTATTTTTAGACGTAGCATAGCACATTTTTTTTTAATGATAAGCTTCTTAGGGAAGAAATGGAAGTGGACATTATACTTTACAAGAATCAGCAGCTAATGTTTTCGAGTTTTCTGGTGAATAGATATACCTTTCGAGAAAAATATTGAAGATGTCAAAATTTTCATTCAATGGGCAAAATGTAATCCTTTATATATAAAAAATAAATAAACCAAAAAACAAACTTTTAATGATAAAATTTTAAACTTTATAAAAAAATAAATCAAAACGATAATAATAATCAGGAATTATGCACCAATTAAAATAGATATTAATGATTGTGGATTTTATCAAACTTAATAATTTCTAAAATAATTTCGCAGAGACCAAGTCCCTGGACGATTTTGAATTGTAATAAATAATGCATATTACTATTAAATTAAAAAAATATTTAAAAAAATTGGCTTAAGTAACACATCATATTAATTTCTTCCTTCCTTCCTTCATTCTTTTTTTTCTTTCTTTTCTTCTTACCTTCTTATTTTTCTCTTCTTCTAAATCAGAATACTTATACACAATAAAATTCAACTTCTGTTTCAAGACAACTAGAAAAAAATATTTTTTTTAACGATAATATATTTATATAAGAAAATTGTTCAGCTAAAAACTGTTAGAGTTTCCAATTTAAACGAACTCCTGGTAAACAAGCTAAAAAAAAAAAAATAATTAATAGTGTAAAAGCAAAAAAAAATTTCATCGAAAAATGAAAATAAAAAATGTTTTTCCTTTTTTGAGAAAATATGCATTCCAATAGAAAGTGATCTAAAAGTAACATGCGAAATACCATGGGTATAAAGGAAATCAAACAGCGGTACTATCTTTTACACGTAGATAGCGTCATTAAAGCACATCCTATCAGACTAAAAAAAATAACAGGCAGGAAAGTAGTTGGACCTCTAATTACATGTAAACAAATCTTTAGAATAATAATAGGGACTTTATATCTAAAAACAAATTTTGGGTCTCCCGAAATAAGGTTATAGTTTTCGGAATTCATGTTTCTTTGCTATATATAACAAAAAATTTCTTACAGATTACTTCCTTGCCTAATAAAGTTTACATTAAAAATAAATAAGTGAGAAGATAAAAACAAACAAAAAAAATAAGGTTTTATTACGTCGCTTTGAATATTAGATTAACATTATGAAGCGGCAATTAGGTCAACACATACCAACACTCAATCGACCAATGATATGCAGATCGATCTTAAAACTACACATTTAAGACAAGATTTCTTTTAAGTTTGAATGATTTTATTTAAAAATCGGTTTCCTAAAATACAATACAAATGATATCAAAATGAAAAATATTTTAAAAAAATTAATAGAATATAATAAAAAATTATATGAAAAATAAAAAAAATATGTATATAAATTTTATATAAAAAAACATTTAAAAAACTTTAAAAAGTGGTACATATTACCCTAGAAAGGAGTAAATACTTAGGAAATATGACAGGCAGATTTAAAGAGAAATCTGCTAAAACGAAGGTAGAATCCTTTGTTGTGGTCACCTGTTCTGTTTCCTAAGGTGTTGATAACTATTGGTATGAACACCGTTTTTGTGAGGCCGGAATATATTTTAAAGACAAAATTGCTTAAAATAAATATTTTAATACAACTTGAAGAATACTTTTTAGAAAATAGCATGTTTCAAAAAATGTATTTTAAAATACTAAATACCCACAAATTTTTTTTAAAAAAAAGAAGCATTTACAGGGTTTCCTATCCAAAATAGGAAAAGTTCTAATTAAAGAAGGAAGTTCAATCATATAATGAAAAGGCCCGATCAAAAGGGGAAAAAGTCCAATCAAAATAGGAAAAGTACCAAAGGCTTAGGAAATCCGATCAAAATAGGAAAAATGTCAAAAAAAGGAAAAAAACTTGCAGTGCAATGGATGGTAGCAATCGACACAAATGGAGGGTACCACTGCACTACAGTCAAAGCGAAGAGCTATGGATATGCGTAAGTCATGAAGAGGCTTAGATTAGAACTGGGGATGGCTTCCAATCATTCTTAGCCAGAGTTTGCATTTTATAAGAAAAAAAAATTGAATTTAATGATTTTATGGCATTAACAACCTATCAGCAATTTGTAAGTAAATAAATTCTTCACTTTGCTATTAAAAGATGTTTATATTTAAATTTATATCATCTCTTTATTTAATTATTTTTCCCGTCTATTTTTTTATATTCTATTTAACCTATAAATAAAATTCACACAATTCTGATAATTACCTTTTTACTAAATAATTTCTTCACCCTCCAAAATATGGAATATTTATTTTTATATTATTTAATTGAAAAAAATATATAAATAAATTTATTTTACATTTAAAATGGTCGAAAAATGACAAAAAAAAATCGATATTTTTAAATTTTTTTCTTTTACATAAAGTAAAAGTTTAAATTTTGGGATCAGCAAGTGGCAATATATTAGTATAAAATAGAGATAAATGGGCATTTTCTAGGGAAATCTTCTTCACGAAATTGAGTACATATTTAAAGGTTTCTGGACAATTAGAACTTCTCTATTTAGAGAGAAACGGAATATATATAATTTTAAACGCATATTGAATCCTTGATGGATTGGCTTTTTTTTATCAAATGATTAATGATAATATATATTGAGTTTTTGAGCCTATTATAAAGCAAGATAAGATAAAAAAAAAAAAAATTTGCTAGTGCGAATGCAATTTGACGATGTAAAAATGCAATGTTTAAAAATAAATCTATAAATAAAATAAAATAAAAGACATTCATAGTCAATTGTATTGTAATATATATATTGTACTTTAAGGTTTAATTAAATATGATCTATTATAATTGGTGTGAAGTTGGTAATTATTCAATGTGATAGAAGGGAAGCGGGAATTTTTTTTCGGAGATAATTCGATTTGAAAATGGGAGGGGAGGGAATACTTCATTCATTCGTGAAGAATGTCCGAAAACCAATTTAAAAAAATAAGCGGGACCTGCTGACCCATTAAATAAAAGTTAAACGTGTGTAAGGGGCTGAAAAGAAATTACGATATTAATAATTAAAACATTTATTCGTTTCTAAACTTCGATTTCCCCTAGAAAGCATTTGTAAAAAAGGGCCAAAATTATTTAGAATGACCAAATCGGGGCTGGGTCAGACCCAAAAGTATAAAACCCATCTGGCCTGGGTGAAGCTTAAATTCTCTAACACCGGGGGGGGGGGGGGGGTCATTTACATTTACGAGGGAGTGGAGACTCAGCGAGATACCCTCTTAGCCAACATATATATATAGGGTCATCGGTTAGAGCTTTAACCTCATTGGCTAGGGCATGCCTCTGCAAGTTTAGGTACGATATTACATACAATTCACCATTTGTACATTACTTTTAAATGGATTATATATTTTTATATTTATTTAAATTTTTGGTGGGAAAAGTTGAACAATATTATTATTAAATTGTGATATAAGTGGTGGATAATGAGTCTATTCTCTATTAGTTATAATTGCTTAATAATAAGTTTTAATCGATATGCATCAGGATATAAAATTTATATATATACCAGCATTATAAATAATCATTTTCCACTTATTTAGTTAATTTAGATTGTTTTTTTTTGGTTTTATAAAAAGTAACGTCCTATCTAAAAAAAAGAAGATAAAATTAGATATTTTTTCCTATTATTAATAATTTTTATAACGCGACTCATCCAAAATACTATATAATTTTAATTTGAGCAAGGCAAGGCATTAATTATGAGGATGACATTTCAACCCGACAAATAAGTTTGACCCCCCCCCCCCAATCCCCAAGGAATTTGTAAAAAAATTAATTTTAAAATTTGTTCTATGCACTTAATAATGATAAAATTTAAAGTGTTTTGCAATTAAAAGAAATTAACTAATAAATATAAATTTGTCTTTCACAACATTCCATTAATCTAAATTAAAATTACTAACATAATGATTATTATTTTATTCATATTCTAAAATTGATATGAAAATGATAAAATTAGTGCTATTATTGTAAAGAATTTTCTATATTAAAAATAATTTTGATATAATTTAAATAAAATATGTGTTTTTAAATGTAAAAATATGAAAAAATTTCATAGCTTTTATTTAATATTATGATATTAAAATCAAAGGAAATAATAATTTCATTTTCAGAGTAAATATAGTGTATGTTCAATTTGTTATAAATTAGCAAATTTACCCAAGAGTAGTCATCGTGACAATTGTGTACCAAAAGGCGGCGGGTATGCTAGTGAAAGTTGTTCTAGACTCGTTTTTCTCGGCATAAAACATTACGGTGGCGAAAATAATGATGGCCATAGTCAGTGAAAACAGTAAGAATCCTAACTCGCTCGCGCAAGACTTCAGGGTATAACCCAATATCCGGAGTCCCTGAGAGTGCCGACTAAACTTAAAGATTCGGAAAACCCTGAAGACTCTGAGAGTCACAAAAGCGCCGCTCAAATTGTCATTTTTAATGCCCAGCCCAACATAGTAAGGTAATATGGCAACTACGTCTATGACACTCATGACAGACCGAGCGAATTTGCAACGATCGGGAGCGGCGTACAATCTCAACATGTATTCTACGGTGAATATCATGACACAAGCTGTGTCGAGGCAGAAAAATGCTAAGTGAAAGCGAGCCCCACAGGATACAGCTTGTTGCTGTTGATATAGATGTGACGAAGATAAAGACGAATGAACGATATTAGAAGAAGGAGGATTATTAGTGCGCGAATTAGTGGAAATAGCTGAGGCGTAATAAGGAATGTAGCCGCAGGGCACAGTTTCTGCAATATTGGCCAGTACAGAGACAGCTATAAAGAAACCGGTCACGTAATAGAAGACCAAGGCGGAGGTAGAGAGGTGGGGATTTTCGAAGGCCTTCCACATCTTTTTACGGACCGAAATAGAAGGAACAACGATAGCTGGCGCGTTGGGATTTTGAAGCATAGATTCCTTATCTCCCCCTGGGGTTTCATCGTCCCCTAGACGTTCTTGGTTCTCTCTACGACGGTCCCGATAATCCTCGTAGCAGCAATCCGATATTATGTCGGGAAGTATACCGAAAAATGCCAATTCCTCTTCGTAAGCTACAATACACTCTTGTTTCGGATAATGCAGTTTGCCCGTCCTGTAATAACCTAGAATATACCTGAATAGCTCAGGGTCCCTATCAAAACTGTATTCGCTTAATTCGGGATCGTAAAAAAACTCTTTCTCGTCGCATCCTAGTAGGGTATTAGGGTAGCGTTCTAAAGTTTCTCGCGAAGTTTCGAAATGTATGCCTCCTACATTAAGAGATATTTTGTCCTCCCAAGAGGATGGGAATGATGCTAATGATGAGCTCGAATCTTCTTGCTGGTTTAATAGGGAACAGTTGGGACATGGTCTAAATTTTCCTCCCTTGTCAAATTTACATTTGCAACAACATTTGAAAATAGGCCTGCTGCTAGAAGATGCTACACTCCTGGCATATAGTAAGTTATTGTAGGGAGAAGTGTGAGTGTCTTGAAAATAGGGGGTAGGCGATGAAGGGTAGCTTAAATGAGGCGATGAGGCGTGAGCTATACGTAATAAAGTGGAGGTAGTTATGGTTGACGTTGGAATAGTGGTTTTTTTATCGGGTTGAGCAGCGGAGATGGCGCTTATAAACGTCGAATCAAAATTAAAGGTGTCTATCATATGCGATAGGCTATCTTCTATATTGCTCAGTGTGGAAATTATAACCGTAGGTAATATCGACTCAACAGAAGATGGGAAAGTAATGGCTTCGGCGGCGGATATAAATGTGGTGGGTAAAGGGGATATGGATATGGAATCGAAAGCGGAATCGGGTGATGAAGAAAATACTTTGTGGTTGATTTGAGAGGAGCCGTTATTATCCGACAAAACTATGTTAGGTATCAATTTTTGATCGGAGGCATATGTTGTTGTCAGCCTAGATTCTGAAGGCTTACTAATCTGTTGCAAATGATGATAATACGGTTGAGAACCTTTAGTAATTCCTTCCAGCTGCTTATCGTCAGTTGACTCAAAATGAACTTCCGATCTTTTTGGTTTATCAGCCGGCCTAAGGGCCGAAAGGTAACCTGGTACAGGTAAGGGATGTTCGGCTATGGGTAGCCAACCAATGGCAGCCGCCCTAGCTAACGGTAGCCAGGCAGATATGGATGACATTTTCTTTTAGGATTTACTTTTAATTCATAATTTCAATTTTTTTTGCATGCATTTAGAATACTGGTGATATATTAAAAATTTTTTAAAATTTTATTAAAGAATAGGAAGGGAGAGTGGGAGGAAGGGGAGGTTAAAAGCTTTTTTTGTTTTTGTGAAATTGCATATTTAAATGTCAAATCATTTTAGTAATTTTTAAAAAAAAAAATTATATCATACTATGAATTTACCTTTAACGGCATAATATATATTTTTTTTTATATATTTAACTTAAAAAGATATCGAAGAAAATTGAATTTAAAAGAGTTTGGATAAATTGGAATATCATATTTTTTGGGAGGGGGAATATGTATTTATATATATTTTTATTTCACATAAATCAATTAATGACACAATAATTTGTTTAAAAAATAAAATAAAATAAATAAATTCCAGGTAATATGTATAAAAAGAAAAATATATATTATAAATAAAAAAGATAATTTTTTTTAATTTTTTCCAATAAATTATTTATTCTTCTTTTTTAAAATAAAAATAATAAAGACAAAAAAAGAATCTCAGTTTGTAAAAAAAATGAAAAAATCAGACGATAAAAAAAAATCTAAAATCTATTGATTTTTTTTTTATTCTTCTGTGTTTATGCAATTTTAATAAAAATATTTTTTTTATATATAATTTTGTGCAAGTAAATTAAATATTTTAAAAGAAATATTGAATAGATTTTACTTAAAAAATTTATCTTTATGATCCCTTTAGTATCTCCTATTTCCCCTTATAATTTTTAATTGATCTTCGGAAGCAGTTGAGCTTCAGAATTAAGATTTTCTAAAAATTTGAAAAGATCGGGATTCCGAAATTCCCGTATGTTAAACATATCTCACATTTAAAACACGAATTTGTAGGATAATTAAATTTCACACATTTTCATATACTAGTAATTATTTATATATTTTCAATAATTATTTAATTAATCATAATTATCCTAATTACTTGCAATTTATAAACAACGCGTTTCGAAAAATTCGGATACTCTCACTTAAAAATATATATCATTATAATTAAAATTTGGAAGCAGAACCTGGATTGGCACTTTTCAAAATTTTATAAACCGAAAGCAGAAGAACTACTAATTTTTTTTAAATATTGAAAAACTGGAGTCAGAATTCTTTTATGACCATGTGTTCCAAACTTTTTAGCAGATATTTCAGGAGTTAACTGAAAAATTGTGAAATTATGATAGTTTATTATTTATTGGTGATTTACATTAATTGCTTATATGATATCAAATATATGTCGGGATTTGGCCAGAAATGGAATCCAGCATGTGTAGCATCCTATAAATTCCAGGCAATTTTTGCAGTACAAACTTTTGTCTATATATTAATTTATATGGAAAAATCTAATAAAACCCGATAAAATTATCTCAACCGGTTAAAGGCATTGTCTGAATATCACAGTGTGAGTAACTCTGAATGTTAAAATACATTTCCAGTCAAATCAGATTTTTCAGAGTTAAAAATCTCTTAAATCACAATGAATTCCATGTTCCAATACAACATATATACATGATATTTTGAAACTTTATATTCTAGAATTTAAGTATATAAATCAAAACACTAGCCTATTTTTAAGAATTGTAGTCTGTACATTATTATTTCGTTAATAATGATTTATGTTCAAATAGACGGTAATAATATTAGATGAAAAAGAAGAAAAAATATATATTTACAATGGATATTTTTATTTATTTTATAGTATAATCTTCTATTAAAGTTTTTATTAAAAATTGTCCTCTAGAATCAATTAAAGCTAAAGGTCCAATTATTTTTTTATACGCACATATAGTTTGAGGATATAAGTAAGAGTTCAGTATTCAGGAATGTTTAGTTGTTAATTAGGCACATATTAATATAAATTTATTTTTTTAATTAGAGGTTTAAAAAAAAATATTTAATCAAGCTCGAAACCTTATAAAAACACTGGGTGAATTAATTTCTGTCAAAACAAAAAGGTTTCTACTTTCGCTAGACATTGCAGTTCCTGTCATTAAATCAAATTTTTAACTTGATTCACGTTTATACTGATCACTCCCCATCTTTTCTCTCACGCTATAGCTTTATAGTAAACGTCATTTTCTAAAGCGATAAATTTTTTTTTTCATTTTAGAAATTTGATTTTTATCGGGGCTTTTTTTATTATTTTTTTTTAAAATTATCATTAGTTAGCAATAGGATTATAGTCCAATTCGTTGAACTTATTTTTAATTATATAGTCTTATCAGATTTGATGAGTTATTATTTAAAATGAATAAATTTTATTATATACCATTTTTAATATATCTTTACTCTAACCCATATGGCCGTGCAGACGGGGGGTGGCGAGCGAAGCTGGCGCCTCGGGCCACCGAAATTGGGCCCGCCATATTTTGTAATTTTACTCAATTATTTTTACCTCTTGAAAATTAAGATTTTTTTTTGTATATACAATACACAAGCAAAACATTATTCTTTTTTTTTATAAAAAATCCATGTATGAATTTTGAAAAAAGTTTTGGCATAATCTAGCCATGTATTATAAATAACAAAAAAATTGATTTATATTTTAGATAGAGAAAATTCATTTATTTTTTAGTTAATAAATTTGATTATTTTATCAAAATTTGATATAATATTATTCGATCACATTATAGTCGAATTAAGAATAAAGAAGTTCATAATCATTACCTTGGAAATCAAATTTAAAATGAAATTATTAACTTGATAGGAGATAAAATCGTAGAAAAATAAAATCAAAATCATTTCTTAGCATTGTCCAACTCTTTTGTTTCGACTCAGCAAATTTTAAATGAATCATTTTTTGTTAAATACCTGAAAGATGGGAGTGTAAGGTGGAAAGTTTAAAGTGATTACAAATAAAGTTGGTGATATTTTGCACTTAGACGTGATCGAAAATAATCACCCCAAATGCTGCACAGAAACCATTTCATTGGCTAAAGAATTAAAACAATTTTTATTTTTGATAACTCTTATTATCTGGTTTGATATATTAACCCAGGTAAATTTAGTAGAATCATGCAAAATGACAATATGGATGGAAAGAGCCATTACTTATAGAAAGTACGCAAGATGTTTTAGATCGCTTTAAGGAAAAAGGCTTTCAGAATTCCCTTGACTCAGCGAAAGAGCTTGCGCCGGAATCGGAAAAGAGTTTAGAAAAGCAGTATTTTTCCATCTAATCGAAAACAATTTCCTTACGAAGGAGACGACATATGAGTTAAATTTTTCAATGCATTACTAGACCAAGTGAGAAATTCGTTGGAGGAACGTTTCCAGCAGTTAGAGCTCTTTAAAGATCATTTTGGATTCTTATCTAATTTTCCAGAATTCATAAATTCGCTTGAAAGAGAGCTAAAGAAGAAATGTTGCCAATTAAATATTTTATTCACAGATAAGGATACGTTAGAAAGCGATATTAATCCGCAAGATCTACTAATTGAAATAAAATGTTTAGTAAATATATTAAGCAACAAACATTGCATAAAAATTCCATGGAAATTTTTCACTATATTAACACTAATAGGTTAAATGAAGCCTTATCAAATATATCCATTGAATTAAGTAATACTTTAACCATTCCAACTACCTATGGCATCGCAGAACGCAGTTTCTCTCTCAAATTAAATATTACCTACGATCCTGTACGGCAATGGGACTAACTTATTAATCTCTCTTTAATTTCAATAAAAAATGATATTGACTCATCATTAGAATATACCGATATAATATCATTTATTTTAATAATGTACCTTACTCATTTATGATTAAAATTTAGCAGAATCTAAATGCTTTTAGTTCTCATTGCGAAGAAAAAAATTAGATTTTTTAAGGTGCCGCCAAATTATTTTTTGCCCTGGGCCGCCAAAAGTCTCAGCACGGCACAGCTTACCTATATCTCTCAAACCTTTAATCATAGATTTGTTTAACTTTAAATATATTCCATCCAATAAACAAATATTCTTGAGTTGCAGATTCATTGAGTTGTATTATTTTCTACTATATTGCTTTAAATTAAGTCGCTAATCGCTATAAATATAATTTTTCTTAAAATTTATATGTGGAGAATAATTGTGATGAATTAGGGATTTAAAAAATCGAAATAATATATTGTCAAAGAAATTTTTCAATCATAAATAAATGGGAAAAAAAACAGTCTAAAAAAAGTTTATATCAAAAAAAATAAAATAAAAGTTAATTTTTTTAAATAATAAAATTTAACAAAATAATCAAATTATAAAATCGTTCTGAATAAAAAATTTGTAACAAAATATTAGCAAATTATATTTAAGATGATTGTAAAAATGAAAAATTTACAATAAAATGTTGGTAGAATACCTTTTTCTCTTCTTAATGGATACAGTAGGAATTTTTAAAAAATTACATTGAAAAAACAATCCTTAATAAAAGGTGTTTTTCATCCTTAGGCTGCATTCAAAGTGAATACGGATCCGTTTTTTACATCCGTTCCGTCAGAAGTCAATCTCATTAAAAATGATATATATTGATTTTCATTTTTAAAAAATTATAAGTAACGTTATAACACTCTATAAAATTTGACGGGTCAAAAAGTCAAAATGTTTTGACTTCAAAATTTTTCGGATCCGTTTTTAAAACGGAAAGTATCGGAACGGACGCACTATGAACATATATATCATTTTTAATGAGATTTTTTATTTAGCTAACATGCCTTTTTTTAGTGGTATTGAAAAATCAAAATTTTGTGGGGGCTTTTCAAATTTTTTAGGGGGGATCTAGCATCTAGCACCTCCGCTTCCCTCTTGTGATGTTACTGCTTTATGGTTGTGATTGATAGGTGGTAGGGTCACTGTCAGATATCAATTTTTTTTTTAATATTTGTACTAATAAGACATAAATGCTGTTTAAAGTTCTTCAATGCCTCTAACTTTAGAAAAGAAATAAGACCTATGTAATAATAGAAATGCACTGGTTTAGTATTAATTAATACTATGTTAAAATTTATACAGATAAGAAAATGTTTAAGTGAAAGGTAATAATATTATTTATAAAAATGATTTCAAATGACTAAATTCTATAGCACACAAAATAAATGATAAAATTCACAATTAACCTGCATAATAAAATATGGTTTTTATATTGTTCTATTCTATATTAATATTATTATTTCGAATGCATTAATCAAAGCATTATAAAAATTTATCTCTTGCATATATATTTATATAATTTTCAAATTATAAACATAATAATTATTAAATAAAAATCATTTCCTATTATTGTTGAAATTAAAAAAATAAAATATTTAAAAAAATAAAAATTTTTCAAAAATATACAATAACTATGTTAATTTATTTTAGTTTAAATCTGCTATCCAATGTCAATTACAACAAGTAAGCATGGTTGTTGCTATGTAATGTTATTAATTTTAAGCATATTTGTAATATTTTATGATTAATTCCAAATTCCTTATTTTTTCAAGAAGTTCCTAGAAATTTTCGTTTGCTAGAAGAATTAGAAAATGCTGAAAAGGGAGTTGGAGATGGCACTATCAGCTGGGGCTTACAAAAAGATGACGATATGTCACTAACACTATGGAATGGCATGATTATTGGGCCTATTAAAGTTTATTTTATAATAATTATGGCTATATTTATATTTATAGTCACCATATGAAAATCGTACATACTCGTTAAAAATGACTTGTGGACCAAATTATCCTGAACAGCCTCCTGACGTTAAATTTGTCACCAAATTAAATATCAAATCTCTTCATGTATTAACAAATGGTGAGGTAATAACTTTTTTTACTTATAAGCATATCATAGCTTATTTATAATTAGGTTGATAAAAATTCATTACCATGTTTACACAGATGGCACAGGGATTGCTCACTTAAAACATTGTTGACGGAAATTAAAAAAACAATGATGTCCAAAGAAAACTATAAATTGCCTCAGCCCCCAGAAGGTGCAACCTTTTCTTGAATATTTTTATTATTACTTTATAAGATATAAACATATTTATTTTTTTTATTGCTTCGAATCATTTTACACTTTTAAAAATTTTATTAAAAAAATATGTATTTTCTCTTGTTTCATATAATACCAGTTCTCAAATAATGCAATACATTATATCAAAAAATCATGTTTTAATTTAAATTTAAAATATGGTAATAATTTAGGGGATTAATATTCAAATAATATTATATTATTTACAATATTATAACCATTCAATAACTAATTTTTTAAAACCTATCACCTATCAAAATATTAGGAATGTGACATTCCAAATTTTGTATTATAAAGCCCTTCACTCAACTCACCAACACCATACAAATGTTTTAATGACTGTTTTATATATACTATTGTATTATACATTCACATTAAAAATTGTACAATATTTACTCATACATGCTGAAGTGCACTGTTTAGTATTATACTAACAAATTTGATTGTGGAAAAATAATTATTTGTATTAAATAAAATTGAATTGTGTGTGGACGTACAAATTTTGGATATTTTTTATATAAATATTTCTTACCAGACTTGTTGGCCCATATTCAAATCTAACTACCTGAGGCTTGCAATGAAATGATATGGTTTTAAAAATATGCGTCAAATCTAAATACTACTAACCCAAGCCAGATCATGTTGTTAAAAATATTGAACAATAGTTTTAACAAGGTCTAAAGAAATACAAATCTAGTCTGATAATGAGACAAATTTAAATTGTATTAATTATCCAGTTTAGAAATCATATGATGCATTATTTGAGCATCAATTTGCTTTTGTACTTTTGATTTTCCTTTTAAGCCATTAGTGTTGTTAAAAAGTCTGATTTGGAACTATTTTTAAAAAAGGAATGGTTAAGATTTTAGAATCTGATTTTTAAAAATCACCCAAATTTGGCTAACAACACTAGAAACCATTGACAAAATATTTATGGCAAATAGAAGTCCAAAGCATTTCCCTATCTATCATCCTAATCTCCAGGCTTATATACTATTATTTTGGCTAAAATCTTCATTGGGTTTTTAAAAATCACCCAAATTTGGATTTTTAACAAAACTAGAAACTATTGACAAAATATTTATGGTAGAAAGATGTCCAAATCTTTTTTCCATCTATGAACAAAATCTTCAGGCATTCATATATTTTGACTAAAATCTTAATCGGCTTTTTAAATCAGGCTTTTAACAAGAAACCATTGGCAAAATATTTAAAATGATCAGATTTTTAAAAAAAATCTTAAAAATTGTTCTTATGATTGACCTCAGTGATATAACTACCAGGAACAGGCCTAAGAGCAATTTTTTATTCTAAGCATTTTATTACAAAATAACCTGTTTTTCCTTGACAATGTTAACAATTTCTTAAGCACTTTACTCACATCTGTCAGAATTACTTTAATATCGATTTTAACTAACCATTAATTTTCCAGCAAGGTCTTTTTGATCTACTTGCATCTTGTTTTAATTTAATTACATATCAAACATCATATTTTATTAAATTAAATGATTGTTAATAGCTAAATTTATTAAAGAATAATGAAAAAATTTCCTTACATTTAAACGAAAACAGTGAGAGACTGAAAAGAGAGCTTTTCTTACCAAAATGTATAATTATAAATACTTTTATCAAATATTTAAAATCTATATTAAATGAACTATATTTCTGCCTATCCCAAATTTCACTGGCGTCTTCCACACCAAAAAATTGAATAATGAAATCCTCATTCGCTTCATAAATCAAATCGGATAATATATTATTCATATTATATAGAGACCAGCAGATGAATCATTTGTATGTCCTGGCCCGTATTTTTTTAAAATATATTTTTAATTTTTATAGAATGGCTAGAGCTGGGCATGCAAGTCTGATACATATACCAATAATTCGATTTTTTAAAAAAATTTAATATATCCTATAAGACATCTTTTTGCAATAAATTCTTTCTAAACCATGGAAAAATGAAAAATTTTCGATTGCAAAATGGATAAATACTAAATTCTAGAAACAAATTGGAGTGTGATAATTACAAAAGTAGTTGCAATGAATGTCATTTCTGAAATTTAAGGCACTGGCTAGAATAAATATCAGAGACCTGCAGACAGTGGCGTAGCCAGGATTGATCCATGGGGTGGGGGGGGGTTTAAAATTTGCCAATATTTTGTGATTTATTAGTGTCTAACCACTATAGTAGCCAGCATAAATGAAAAAAAAATATTAGTAACAAAATTTTGGCCAAATTTATGATTATTACGCAACTGAAAGCATTATTCTGAAAATTTTATCAATGTTTAGTCAATTGTAAATTAATTCAATCCATGCGGTGTAGAAAGTAGAATAAAATCGCCCCCCCCCAAACCTCCCATTTTTTATGACACTTAATATATCTTATTCTATGTTAAAAATAATTATTTTAATTAAATTTTTGCATATAACAATTGCAGAGAATTTGATTATAGGTTTTATTTATTATTAAAATACTTTAGTATAAATAACACCCCTTTATTTAACTATGTATTATTTTAATGATAACAAATGAGTATATTAATAAAACATTAATAATTCTTATTAGAGATCTGCAAAAGTAAGAAAATCGGTTTCGGGCCTAATATTTTAAAAAAAAATTCCTGTCGGGTTGGATCGGGCCTTGGAATTTTTTTTAAAATATATCTAAATATATCAATTTTTATGTAAAATAAAAATATTTGATTTTATTTATAAAAACTAGACGCCATGTAACATATATCTTTTATTTTGAGTAATTATAAAAATGAATTTCTATATTTAAATAAATTCAGGCCAGGCCGACAAAACTTTTAAAAAAAAATTTTGGGTTCGGGCCGGCAAAACATTTTTAAAATGATTTCAGGCCGGGCTTAAAAAATTAAGCCCGATACAGATCACTAATTCTTATTGCAAATACAATATTTTTATTAAAAATAGTATAATATATAATTATTATGACTAAGAATTCATTATAATTACTTATTGAATATAAAAATTTTATGTTATAATAATATAGCAATTTTATGATTTGAATTTATAAAGAGAGGTGTATTTTTCTCTGAGATTTAACTAATTTATCTAGAATCAAATTTTTATCTAGAATAATCTCCTTATAAATATTTAATATTACGAATCATTTAAACGGCTTTCACCGGTGCTATTTCTAAAATAGGGTTTTAACCTTTTCAAAATTGAAGAAGACCTTTCATTAGTGCGGGTGCTAATCGGTAAGGTAATTAAAATAAAAAGCAATGTTTTTATATTAGGCAGGATCTAAAGTGCTATTACACATGGAAAGCGCCTGCAAAGCATTTTTTGGTCTCAAAGAGTACTCTATTCTGTCAAATTTTATACCAAAATTCGACATCACAAAGTAACTTATTATACGATCCTAATAATTCATCAGAATAAAACTCTGAAACTTAATATCCTCTCGCGTTTCAAGTGTATTCAGACTCAACCGGCAAAAGAAAATGAAAGCTGTTTAGAATAAAATTGTGACTAATAAATCTTTCCTTTAATTGAAATAAAAAGGTATGAATAAGGGGAGTAAAAATATTTATTTTATAAAAATCCTCAATCGTAGATGCATCAATATTTAAGCGATTGGACTATCTAGAAACTAGTGATCTGCATCGAACCTAATTTTTCAAGCCCGGCCCGAAAATTTTTTTTTAAAGTTTTGCCGGCCCGGCCCGAACCCGAAATTTATTTTAAAAAAATTTATCGCCTGGCCAGGCCCAAATTTATTTTAATATAGAAATTAATTTTTATAATTACTTAAAATAAAAGACATATGTGATATAGCGTTTAATTTCAATATATTAAATCAAAAATTTAATTCAATATAAAATTGATAAATTTTGTTATATTTAATAAAATTTCCAAAATACAACCGGACCCGGCCCGAAATTTTTTTAAAAATATTAGGCCCGGCCCGGGCCGAACCCGATTAGCCCGTTCGGGCAAGACTTGGGCCGGTACGGGCCAGGCCTAACTTTGCAGATCTCTACTAGAAACTACTTTAGGTTTAAAATTTTTAATCCCAAACATATTAGTTATCACCTTTACTATCTCATTATATTAACCAAATTAAATGATTTTTCTTTTATTTAAAAATTATAAAAAATTAATTAAAATTTATAAAATCTAATTAGTTTAACAATATAAATTTTATTATTAAATTTATAAATATCTAATTTAACTATGCTAGAAAAAATTTACAATATATTTTTATTGTTATTTAATATTTTACAATATATTTTTATTGTTATTTAATATTTTACATAGAATTTTTAATATATATTTTTAAACCATGTTATCATTTAAAATTGAAAATTCTTATTTGTTTTTTTAAATATATTTCATTTTCATATCTTTTATAATTTTATTTATAAATTTTAAATAAAATTATTCGCAATAAGAAAAAAATTAAAAAAATATGGGGGGGAGGGGGTTAAACCCCGACCCCCCTCCCCTCCTTGTCTAAGCCACTGCCTGCAGAGGTACCATTTGTACGGCCCAGCCGACCCATATTGCTTTTTAAAAAAATTTTCAGCCCGGCACGGATTTTTTTTCAAAAATGGCCTGCTTGGCTGTTTTTTTTTAAATTTTCAGGCTCGGCCCGGATTTTTTTAAAATATATTTTATTTATTTTTGATTTTTATAACCAATAATGGCGATTTCGAATATTTGGTTTTAAAATATACGGCCCTGCCCAGATATTTTTTTAAAAAAAATTTGTACCCAAGCCGGGCTTAGAGCCGTGCCTGCAGGTCTCTGATAAATATAAAGTTTCTTTAAAACTAGTTTCGGACTAGCGGCATGGCCCTCGAAGAACGATTAGAAGGAAAAAGACAGAATTACCATAGGAAAAGAGCTCATAACTTCAAAAATGACGACCATTTCAACTTTATTTGTATTTCCAAGCGATGCAATTTTATCCATAAAAAAAATAAATGTACAAATATATTTCCACAATGCATATTCACGACAAACAAAACATTCATAATGCTACAAGCAAACCAGAAGTTATTTTCTAAAAAAAGCTAGATCAAATTGTAGGGAAGACTTCAACATCACCACTTGCTGTATTATAGGATGAGAAAAAGATGTTTACATTTTTATATAATAAATTAGTGGTCTAAAAATGGCAAAATTCTTAGGCTCGATGAGAATTTATTTTTGCCAGGCCCTGTTTTGATTTTTCACTAAGATTGCCCGGCCAAACCCGGTTTTTTATATATAAGACCTAATTTAAAACATTTTTAGTTATGCACCAAAATAAATAACTATTTATAATATTGGGGTATAGAATTAAAAACACATTACTTTCTAGATTATCACTTCTATCAAATATAGGATTCAATAATTAATACATTACAAGATATGTCCTATTTTTGCCAATAATAATTTGTCGTCATTAGGATTATAAGTCAATTAAAAATTATTTTAACAAAATTCGATTTTAGAATAATTTTTTTATATTCTCTAATCTCTATTAAGAGGGCCGGTCATCTCTACTTTTTGCCCGTTTTGGCCTGTTAATTTTTTTGTTCCGCTCGGCCCATAAAAAATGCCAAATCAAAAAAGGAAAATGTCAGATCAACGAAGGAAAAGATCCTCTCAAAAATAGAGAAAAGTTCAATAAAAAAATAAAATTGCCAAAGATCATAAAGGTGAAAGTGCCAAAGACTTGGAAGATCCTTTTAAATAAAGGAAAAAGTCAATAGGAAAAGTATCAATTACAAAAATTGTCAATTATAAGAAGGAAAAGGTTCTATCAATCAAAATTCTCATTAAAGAAAGGTCGTTATTTTTATATTTAAAAAAAAATTATATTGTTGTCAGTTTAATAATCCATGTCATTTTTCTTTCATTTTTGGTTATTTTAATTTTATTTATAACTTTTTTAAAATCTCTTTTAAATCATTTTTAATCTATTATCATCTTTTTTAAAAAATATTTTCTTCACATTTTATTTTTTTTGTCATTTTTAACCATTCTTTTTACATCTTTACAATTTATTGTTTTTTTATCATTCTTTTTCTCCTTATATTTTTATTTTAATCTTCCGCCAATTCAAGATATGGGAAACGATTTTAAATATTGAAAATATGAGGCTATTTACTTAAATAGATATTAGATAAATATATTTTAATTAACCTGATAGAATATCATATAAATAAAGTATGTATTATGTAATAATAACACAAAAATATAATAACAAAATAGTTTGGTAAATGGATGTTTAAAATAGTAATTGAAAATTATATGTTATTGTGATTGACATTTTAATAATGTGTTAGATAATAGCATAATATTCTAATTGACAAAAATTTAAAATGATTATTTAGGATATTTATTTATCGGTTCGTACACCTCTTACAACACGAACCCGAAAATAAAAATTTTTTGGGTTCAGCAAAAATATAAGGGTTCAGATCCTTAATAATTATAACAATAAATTATCTTATTAAAGCGTTTAATATTACATTGCATCTCAAAAGTAAAAAAAATCGGAGTTAATTTTTCAATTTGGGAGTTTATTGATATTTAAAAAGTATAAAAACAAGTTTAGTAAGACTCCTATAATTATTAACCCTATGAGGAGTAAATTATACCCTACCCGAGTAGAAATATGGCAGGCAGATAAATTTTAAAAATTCTTTCTATTTCTTTTATTTTTGTAAAAAATGGTTAGGACACTATAATCGTAATTTTTTTAAGTACGTGAACGTTACTTTTTGAAAATAGTAGCTTTTAGTGCGCTACTTTAAAAAATTGCGCTTTGCAAAGTAGCGGTAGCTTGCTATTTTAAAAAGTAGCGTTTAACACTGCATATTTACCGCGTTTATTATATGAAATATATAAATTGGGAAAAAAGAAATTGATGTAAAGTTTTCAATTTTATTTATATTTTGTAGAGATTTTTCAGGTAAACCAGGCTTAACATAATACTACTAACCTTTTCAATCATCATATGTTCCCATTTTAATTTATATATTTTTTTTACCACAACAGTCACTTAAGATAACTTGCACATTTAGTTAACTATTTTTTCCTATAAATCTTAAACCATCTCAATTCACAACCCAGATGGAAATCTTTTTAATACCTGATATACGTTTTAAGATCATGTCTCAATGTCCTTCCCAGGTCTAGAAACCATGGCGCATTATTGATTTATATTAGAGGTGTATAGGCCCGGAGCGAGCCGTAAAATAGTTTTTAAAATTCTGGCCTGGCTTAAAAATACTAATAAAACAAACCCTGGCTAGGACTAAAAATGTTTTTTTTATATAAAACCCAATGGCGATGATTTATGTTATAAATTAACTAACTGGAAAATTACATGATGGATTATTTAGCATTAATTGCTGCTATATTCTCAATTTTTATAAATAAATTCTCGGGATATAAAAATAAATCAAAAATTTTTTAAAAAAATCTGGTCGGAAGAGCAAAAAATATGTTTATTTTTTTTTTAATTTGAGCCGAGCTTAAAAAAATTATATATTACTTTAATATTCAATCGAATCTTGTTGTTTCAATTCATCCCCATCATAAACCATACCATTTGATCGAAGTTTTTATTTAAGTATATGAATTAGAAGTTTGAATTGAGCAGGTTTTTAGTCCGCCCATGCCCGCACTTCAGACTGGCGTGGTAGGGTTTTATAAAATATATTAAAAATTGGACGGGTGGCGGGCAGGTTAAAAAATTTTCAGTAATGGGGGGGGGGGGGCGGGCGGATAAATTTTAAATAATTTTTAGGCGAAATGAGCAGAACGGACTTTAATTTATTAAAAATAATTAGTTTTATTTCTTAATATGGCATATTATATATGTTTAATTAAAAATATGTTTAGAGCCAAACCAGCCATTAAAATAATTTGCGGGCGGGCGGGTTACACAAATGTTATAGAAAAATAAGCCAGCGGGTGGTGGGTAAATTTTTTAAAAAAATTATAAGTGAGCGGGGGGTTAAAAAAATTTCTAGCTTTTTTGGCTAAAAATCCGCCCATTGCAGACCTCTAATATGAAGCCGTAATAAACTTAAGGTTCCTAAATTCCATTATCAAACCACACCACCTGGTCGAAGTTTTTATTTAAGTATTGTTATAAAACTTAAAAGATAAATGAACATTTTCCATTCCTCTACACAAAAAGGGCTCCTAAATCCCGAACACCAAATTCAATTTTTATAAAATTTCCATATTTTATTTGTAAATTTTTTATATTAAATAAATATTTTTATTTATTTTTAAAACAAAATCATTTCTTTTCTTTCGGCAATAAAATTTCTTTTATAATTAATTTTTTTTTTCGCGTATTCAGCCTTTTTTTTGAAATTTTAAATCAATTATGAAAAATAAAATTATTATCATTGTGTAATATAGTAAAATAAATATAAATAAATATTTCATTTAAAAAAAAAAAATTTAGATTATAAATAAATTAAGGGGGACAAGGGAATGGGGAAGTGAATAGTTAAAAGGAGTAGGGAAGTGAGGGGAAAATCACCCTCAAGGAAAGTTTGATTGAAAAAAGAGGAAAATTGAGATAGTTCGCGTGAAGTAGTTTAAAGACATATTAATAATAAGGGGAAAAGATTAATAGCAATATTTTTTTAAAAAAAAGATGATAAAATTTTAAAACTATTTTTGTCTTAAATGGGAGATCTTTTTTTGTGTTTTTAAATATATTTTACAAACCATAATAAAAAATAATAATAAATTTACAAGAAGAGTTGATAGAGAGATGCAAGTTACTTTGTTTGTTTTTAAAAGCCGAAATCTATATTTCTGAAAATGATTTTTTTTTAAAAAAATGAAGTGAAACCTTTTAAAAATCGGACTGCTTAAATTTTTCCCGCAATTGACTTTTATATAAAAGAACAATTACGAATGACCGGTGGGTACAATCAAAAAAAAAATGTGTAAATTATTGCAACAACGTAAATAATAAATTAAGAGTGTAATTTTTTTAAAAAAATAAAAATAATTTGTGATGGGGTGGAAGCGGCACAAATCTGGAGGAGAATGGAAGTGAAAAGATGCATAGAAAGGAATAAATCAAAAAAAAAGAGTGAGAGAACGATTGGGTAAAAAAAAAAATAACGTAAAATTAGAAAAAAAGAAAATAAATATTATTACACATTATTTTTTTTGAAAGAATAAATAATAAATAATAAATATAAATATACATAAAAATTTGACATTTATAAGATGTTTCTTTTTTTTGTTCACAATGTTAGGCATAATTTAAAGTTACCTTACATTTAGTATATAAATTATATATTAGATTTTTTTTTGTTTATTTTCGTCGTCATTGAGTGTTATTTAAAAGATGGATCAAAACCGATAGACGTAAAAAAATGAATCATTTATAAATTATTTTAAAAAAAATTATGGGAATATTCTCAACCCATAATTTTTTTTTTACGCGAAACATTCCTGGTCAGAGTTCCAGTCCGGATCCCGGGGGCGCTAAAACGTCGTCCTCATCGCCAGAAGAAAATTCCGACAATGAGCTACTTTCCGCTCCGCTATTATCGGGGTCAGGTCCGTTAATCTCTTTGATCGCATCTTCGGTAGCATATTTTGAGACGTAATCTTTAAAATCGATATTTTTTTTTAATAAATTTAGATACATTATAAAATAAAGTCGGTATTTAAAGTCCCTTAGCTTATATCCTAAGCAGTTTTCAAAAATCTTCATCAAATTTTACCTAAAATTCCAAATCTTTTATAAATAAATCCCTTGTGATTTTAAAGAATATAAAATCTTTCAGGGTAAAATCACAAATTATTGGGCAAATCTTAAAATTTTTTTTTTTCAAACTCTGCATCTCAGCAAGAAATTAAATTGCACAATTTGCAAAAGTTTTAAAAATAACAGTATCTAAAGTTTCGCTAGAAGAAAAAAAATTCGTAATTCTTATTTTTCTGCCAAAAAGTAGAATTCGATTGCAAGGGAAAACGGGTATAGTAAAAATGTACCCTGTCACATTTTTTTAAAAAACCTCAATGATTTAATATCTGCTGCCTCACTTCCTAGGCCTTGTAATCTAACATTTTTAAAATTTTAGAGGAGACAACAAAAAAAACGTAATGGCCTTCCTTTTATTTTACCCTATAGCATATAATAGAGATATATTCATTTAAATAATGAAATAAATTACACTGAAAATATTAATTTTTTTAAATATAAATGACCGTATATTAATAAGCTTTATTTAATTAATTAATCCAGCATTTACAACATATACAATAATATTAGATCTATATATGAATGCCGTAGATGATGATGACGACTACTCCGTTTGGATATTTGGCATGTCCTTAAACCCCGAATCAACCGTTGCACTTAGGATGTAACTTTGATTAGATAATTGGCATGCGGTTAGATCCCGAATCAACGGTTGTAATTAGGGTATCAAGTGTATCCGAATCGTTTTTTTGGAAAATACTTCAATAAGTACTCTCAATTGATCTGTATGTTTACTCCACATTTTATTCCCCGAACAAAGATGAATTACACAACCATTACTTTCTATTATTAATAATCAATCCGGGTTATTCAACCAGGGGCCTTCGTTATTGTTTTTTTGGTGACCATTTTTCAAACTCAATCAGTTTAGTGTTCTGTCGTTATAATATTTTTTGTTTCGATAAAAAATTTTGCATTTTGACTTCTCTCATCGAATATTCATCGATCCAAAATTGTTCGAATTTTCCGCTGAAACATCATATCGGTTGGAGCTTTACTCTTCGTAATCTGAGGTGCATTATGATACATTATCAAAATTCGAATCTCTATTTTTGGTCCTCCTTTATAGCCTAGGGCGAAATATTTTGATCCCAAGTTTTCTCCAGATCTATTAGAGAATTCATTTCATTTATTCGAAACGAATTGCTTTAAATTCTAAACTGGTGAAATCCAATAGTTTGCATCATTTTTAACAAGCTTTATTTCATTTATAAACACACAATTAATGCCAATGATAACAAAAATATAAGATAGAATTATATTCGAATGTATAAATAATAGCTAGTCATATTAAAATGAAAAAATATAAAAGCTATTTATGATAACATTGTACCTGGTAAAAAAATGAATAATTTAAAAAAAATATTATAAAAGTTATTTTTGAGAATTATATATATATATTTTTGCCAAATTTTTTTTAAAAAAAATGATAAGATCTAAATTTAATAATATTTTGGATAACTAAGGCATCAATATGATAGAAAATATAGTAATAAAACTTTTAATTAAACATGTTTTGAAATTTTTTATTAGTTACTATAGTTGGGTAATTATTACTATATTTTTAGCAAAAATCGGCTAAACGGAATTTTTAAAACATCACCTTGGCTTTGGGGTTTTTCTTAAAAATGTAGCAGCTCACATTTGAAAGAAGCTAATATAAATTAAAACTCTTTAATGTTAACGGATTTTCTCTTGTGCGCGCCTGTAGATTGAGCCGAATTAGCCGACATTTAGCCATTACCCAACTTACGAGGTCTCGCAAGAAAAAAAAACATATTTATCTTTAGAAGCAGAATTGAACATCGTTTCTATTTTCCTTCCTTTTTTAAATGTAGCGTAATCAAAAATTGAACCAGAACTTGGACCGATAAGAATGGGAAAGTGCATTTACTTTTAATAGGAAAATTTTTAACGATTTGGATTGGTAAAACTATGGACTTATACCAGTGCCAATCCCTTATCTAAAACAATATTTTTAAAATGATGGGAGCATAACCTTTGATTTTTCGCTTGTAATCTTCCGGTTTTTGCAAGTAAAGAGCGGCGGCATCACCGTTCAGAGGGTCTACCGGATTGGGGTAACGAAGTAATTGAGGTAAGAAGGATTCAAAAATGTTGAGTAGGTCTTGTGATGGGATAAAATAAAACATAAATTAAAAAATATATATTTTATAAAATGCAAAAAACTGAAAAGATAAACCACTTTAGAAATTGAAGTATGTAGTGCAGTGTTTAGTCAACCATCAGCGGTCTTAAACCGGAAACCATCTTTTTTGAAAAGAACCGCAGTTAGGAGAGGTCTTAAAATATTTTTGGAGCCTGAGCATTTATTATTAAAGTTTGCTTTACTATTCAGTTGATATAATTTTTGGGGTATATTTTATCTTATATTGCATTTCTTGAGGAATTACTTTAGTATTTTGTGATTCTTTTTATTTTGTGGAAATTTTATCCATGGAATTATTTTCAGGGAGATTTTTTCCCAGCGTGAACTGCGATGTATATTATCATAAAGATAAGATAATCAATATCTATGACATTATAATTTATTTTGCATTTGTAGTTTGAATAAAATATTATATACTCCTAGAAAATAGTGGTTGTTTTTTTCCCCAATTTAAATTTTTAAAAAAAAATTAAATATTTTTTATTTTATTGACCGAACCCAATCTCGCTAAAAATAAATTGCGAGTTAGAAGCCCTGGGCTTGGGTTCACACAGCCCCCTAAAAAATTTATACATTTAAGTTATGGTGAAATACAAAAAAACACATAAACTTCAAAATACAATAAAAAAATGATAATAAAAAATTAAATTTTTTTGTTATCTGCCCTGATTTTTGATATAAAAAAAATGATACAATATTATATACTAATAAAATGACCTATTATTTATTAAAATAAGATCGAGAAAAAAAACAAGATACTGAAAAAATCGAAGAAATATTTTTTTAAAAAAAAAATGAATAAGAGGTTCCCCATTTCATTCATTTACGAGTATAAAAAAAGATGGCTAGTCAACTGTTTTAATTTATTTTTTCTCGGAGGATTGGTGATTCAAAAACAATTCTCCCCCCCCCCCCCGGTTGAGATCGACCGAGATATTTTTAGTGGGCTTTTTTGTTCAAATTTTGGGCAGATGTTTCCCAATTCCTATAATATTTAATAGGAACTCATTTTATCAAAAATATTAATTTAAATTCAAGTGGGCTGATTTATTAAAAGTCAAAATTAGACAAGTTACATTAATATCTAACCTAATATACACTAAACTCTAACTAAAAACCACCTCTCTTCTATGAAGAGATACTAAGGCTTGCGTAATCCATGGAGCAGAACTCAAAGAGATGTCTTCAGAAAAACTAGACGCAGTTTTGAGGGACCATCCTGAAATAGTATTCGCTCGGACATCCCCTCAACAAAAACTTATAATGAGGGCTTTCAAAGGCAAAGCGCTATAGTAGCAGTTACGGGAGACGGGGTTAATGATTCTCCGGCTCTTAAACAAGCAGATATCGGTTTATTTAAAATGAGCTAGTTTTATTAATCACACAAATAACGAGAAAAAACTTGTAAAGGTAGGATCGAGATTTGCAAACTTGAATTTTAAAATGATTTAGACCGAGTCATAGCATATCGTTCACGTTTCCAGTATAAAATAATATTATGATGACTATGTAATAAAACGAATTTAGTACACTGACCTATTAGTAAGTTTTGATCTATCTGACTGAGATAATAAGAGATTAGGCATATATTATGACTAGCAATATCATTTCGACTGACTCCTCACTTATTAAAATGGTGGGTCTATATATGAGTCAGTTATTTGTCATTTTTTAGTTTATGAACCCCCCCCCCCTAAAACGGCGTCTACAGCTAACAACCATGTTTGTACAACTTTTAATGAATGAATAAAATCGTCAATCTAGATTGATAGTGTCAAAAAAAACTTATAAAGTCTTTAACAAATAAAAAAATGCGCTAAATTTCGTAAATTTTTAGTGTTTTTTTGAAAAATAAAACTTACGACTAGTATTTTTAAAAACGGCTAACTCAATATTTTAACCAGAAAAATATTATGCAAGCCTGAAGATTTTGCACATAGATGGCACCAAAGGTTTGGGCATGCATTAATAAAATTTTGAGGTTTAGGCAATATTTTTCTAGCTAAAATATTAAGTTAGCCGTTTTTAAAAATCGGCTCAAATCTAGCCGTTTAACGACACTAGTCATGAACTATCTTTTTACATACAGCTTCATTATAAAACGGCATAAATAAGGAAAAAAGATTATATAATATATTCAAAAAAAATTTTACCGAAAAGAGCGGACCAGGCTTGGTTGATCACATCTAGGCACACTGTACCTGAACTGTTGTTTGGATTGTTCGAAATTTATTTTTATTTTAAAAGATAGAATAATTTTTTTTTCTATCTAGATTTAAACTTTTTAAATTGTTTCGTTTATGAATATTGATTTTCTAGATTTATCGTCTGCCGAGTTTTAATATTTCTATTAGAGGAGATCTGCAAAAGTAGGCCCGGCCCGTACCCTGCCAACCTAATATTTTTTAAAAAATTTCGGTTAATTTTTTATTTAAATTTAAAATATTCGATTTAATTTATAGAAACTAGACATCATATAACATATATCATTTAATTTGAGTAATAATAAAAATTAATTTCTATATTTAAATAAATTTAGGCCTGGTAGGCAAAACTTTTTTAAAAAAAATTCGGGTTCAGGCCGGGTTTGAAAAATTAGGCCCGATGCAGATCACTAATTTCTATACCCATTTTTGTTTAAAAAAATTGATCAATTCCTCACTGTATTCTTATATATATGTTAGCGGCAATGTGTTTATGGAAAAATTAATATAAATTATATTAAGTTCAAAAGTTAATGATAAAATTATCTGAATTTCTTAGGGTAGGTATTCCAAACATGATTGAATACATTTCCGATAAAATCCGATTTTTTAAATTTAAAAAAAAAACGCGCTCAAATTATGATTTAAAGTTAAAAAAATAACCCATTGCCGCTAACATATATTATCCACAATTTAAAATTATTTTGTTTATGAACATTTATTTTCTAAATTATAGTCTGCTGAGTTTTAATAGATTTTTATACCCATTTAAAAAAAAAAAAAATTTATTAATTCTTCGTTACTATCTTCTTATATATATATATCCATAATAAAAATATTAAAAATTATGAAGAATAATCAATCTCGTGATGATTTCCAATTTAAAATACAATAACTTTTTTTTTAAATGCACTCCTGATTAGTGTTGTTAAAAAGTCGAGTTCTTACGACTCGAGTCGTAAGAAACGGCTCCGACTCAACGGACAATTAAAAAAAATAGATATACTCAGTCAGAGATATAAAACTAAAATTATGGATTATATCGGGCGGAGAAATTTTTTCGAACAGGATCGGATTTTTTAAAAAAAAATGAGTCTGATACAGGGCTCTACTTCGTTTAGAGGGAAAGTTCCCAATATTCCCCTATTATTATTTTTGGAAATCAGGATCATATTTATAGCAGGAAGGAAGCCTTAAAATGGGCCTCCCCCTTTACATGACACACAAATTGCTCGTTTCAAGCACGGCGTTTAAGGGAAAGGCAAACGCTCAATTTGCGTGCACGACCATATAAATTTAAGAAATAGTTTCAATTTGAAAAATGGGGTTATTCTTCTTTTTCCCAGAATTTACAAAATTTGTACAAAAATAATAAATAAATTAAAATCTAGGACTCACGCTTCGTCTATATTTGGATGATAGATTTTGTTGAGGAAACCTTGACCATAAATAGAAAATAATTAATCGAAATATAAATTATATTGATAAAAATTTTTTTGAGATTTATTATAACTATGTTTTAAAAATAAAGAAATCGAAAAGATAAGCTAAAATGGTTTTTTTTTTAAAAAAAAATGTATAAATTATAAAAAAAAAGTTTCGCGATTCAAGGCAATATAGAAGATAAGTCATCCAAATCTTTTAGTGAAATGCGGTGAATAATTTTATTCCGTTACGGTAATCCTGTACCCCTGCACTCACAGTTAGCGCGAAATGCAGGGTAGGATGAAAATATCATTTTGATGTATAGAGTTTAACGTTAATGATTTTTTAGTGTTTTATTTAAAAAAATGTTAGATAGCGTTGTAGTTTCATCCTTATATATAAAAAATTCTGATGCTTTCGAGTGGCGTCTGTGGCCTAGTCGGTTCAGTAATAATTCTAAGTTCGAATCTAGCATACGCTTTTCCTAAAGCAAACTAGCTAGTTCCATCCTTTGGTGGGGGGGGGGGGGGGGGTATAAAATAGATCGGACTAGACCACGTGATTCCGTTAATATATATTAAATAAATGTGTCTTATTGCATTTTGATAAATTTTTGGTAGTTTTAGCAAGTGGATCATATATCATTACCCCAAAAAATATCCAAATTGTTTTGGATAGAAAAAAAGTTGATAAAATTAATCGAAAATAATTTACACGTAAATTTGCCCCCGGGACAATAAAAAAAAATATTGAAAACACAAAATGTTTCTCTTCCGAACCCTAAAAAGTGATATCCTCTCCGCTTTTCTTACGCGTCACATCCACAAAATGACCAACGAGTTGCTCATTTTTTTTCTACCAAAAACCGCTACACAATATAATTATATTATATTAATTAAATATCATAAATAAATATGATATGATATGGATAAGAACAAATTAAGCCTTCATCATAAATAAAACAATAACAAATTAATTTCATAGCTAACATTTCGAGATTTTTTTAAAAAAATTTAATTTCAAATTTCCAAAAAATAAAATAATTATCGATTTAGAAAAATAATATATTTTTTAACTCATTAATTTTTAAAGGTTAAATAGAATATGATTGGCGAAAGGCGGTTGAAAACATACGAAATATATAGCGATTTTTCGCTTCTGAAATTTTGATTTAGAGCCCCCCCCCCCTTTATGGAATATTATGATTTAATGCTTCTAGGTTTTTAGGTGCACCGTAGGCTAATGAGTTAGAATGCAAAAATATAATAAATGAGCAAAAATGTCCATACATTCACCTGATACTAATAAATAATTAACATTTTTAATATTGCGTCATAAGTCAGAAATCCATAAAGCAAAAAAATCCAAATTGATATAGAGGAATTTAAATTTGGCAGCCAGCGGCTGATGCAATGCCTGCTCCCCCGACGAGCCTACATCTATAACCCATCCTCACTTATAGAATATAGATTCTGAGGTAATATTTGTTGATCCCCCATCTTTATTTTTAGGTTATCTTATAATGCTTCGTTATATCTCACTTAAATTATTTAATTCAATATTACTATTTTAAGATATAACTAGGGTTGTTTAATCCGGGCATATTCCCAAAAATTTTAGGGAATATTCTCTAGGAATTGAAAGGAAAAGGAAATAATTTTTAAATATTTTTCAAAAATCATTTTTAAAAAAAAGTTAGATCCCGTTTCTTATAATTACATTTAATAGTTTTTGTTTCCTAAGCCTAATAACAAATATATTTTGTATTTTTAATGTAAATTCTTATTATATTTATTTTTTGCATTTTAATTTATCCGTTGTTACTTGAATACAATAAAAATTGAAAATTATTTATTTACAATTTAATCAGATATCATTAATTCCCCGGTTATTCCAACTGGGAAAGTTACCGCAATAAAAATTCTCGAGAATTTTACAACCTTAGATATAACCAAAAAAGCAATATTTGCAATAAAATTATGTGAAGTTAACTGATTGTGATAGAATTCAATATTAAAAAAAATAGAGTTAACTTTCGCTGTAGTTTTTAAATTTAATACCCCCCTTGAGACAGAGGTGTAAAGGTTTTTGGGGCTCCCTCGCCAAAAAAACTAGCAGGACTCCTCTGCTCTTTTTGTTTTAAATTATCGTTTTCCATAGATTAACCACATCAATTCGAAAGACAGTTCATTAAAATAAATAACTTTAATGCCCGAAAATAATTGCAGACGATATTACACAAATGTATGAAAACTATTATAATTTTTTTTCAAATAAAAGTGAGTATATATCAATAATTTCGGCATTTAATATTCGGCATCGTTTGTCTATAGTATAGGCCATATTGGTTTCGATACATATAATTGCTAAATTAGATAATCTGGCCTGTGATATTGAACTCACGAAGATAATTTATTATTAAATTGAGAAAATACGATTAATAATTTTGGCTAAGTAATTATATCGCGAATAAACGCAAAATGAATAGGTATAATAATATATATATAAGTATTAATTCAAGATAAGGATATACCATGCCCCCACTATTAAGGTCAAAACTTGCCCCACCCTTTGAACCCGTAAGCGTGGCGTTATAAATCTTTTCTCCTAATCAAAAACTGTAATGCTTTTCCTCCAACAAATACCGTCTGTGATTATTAAATCTAACATCCCCTAGCTTTCCTTCGAGAATTTCGGGTCCTTTAGCACACTGTTAGTCATACTGTTACTAATAAATTGGTATTTTTTTTAATTATAAATAATTTCGCTAGTGTTTGACGCAGTATGATTTAGAATATGGCTCAGTGTGCCGTATAATTTATAAGGAAGATAGAATTTCTTTATTTCATTTATTTTTGTTTGGATTTGAGAATATATTTCATTCATAGTAGCGGCTCCATGATATCTCTGCTCTCTACATTTTTTTAACAATGTCAAATTTTTCCAAAGTTTGCAAAATATCTTATTGTTATTAATTCCGAATTCCTGTTTTTAAGATTTCATTGATAATAAAGATTCTTTAATTACAATATTATCCTATGGGACATTCACATCATTCTTTAATATTGATACATATAAAGGAATATAATTATTTCATAAATATTTGAAATTATTATTAAGTATTTAACATGTTTCCACAAAACGCCCTTAATAATCCATTTTTTCATTTAAAAAAAATATTTTTTGATCAAATCATTGTTACTAGCATTTTCTGTTTATGAGAGAGGACCCTTTTGAACCCAGAGGCTCTCCAATTTTTCAAAAAATGGCTAGCGCGCCTCGCAGGTGTCTGTTGATTCTCTACTGGGAAGTCACCTATAACAAGGTTTCAATTTATATTTCTTCGTGATTTGAGTTGGGCAATAAAATAAAAACACCTAATCTTATTATTTGGCTTATAAAATATAATCGCGTGAATTGTGTATTAAATGTAAGTAATCAAATAAATGCGTGTTCTCTTTTCCCCCGTTTTATATAGGTTAAAGTCATCGAAATTTATTTAATTTTTAAAATTTAAATGTCGATTGTTTTGTGTGTCGTGTTAATGTTAGTTTTGTCATTTTTTTTTATTTTTTTCGCAAATAAGTTAATTTATAAAATTTTTAATTTAAAATATTTTAATTTTTCAAGGATCTTCTATTTTTTATTTTATTTTTTAGGCTTAAAATTTTTCCACCTTAAATATTATTTATTCAAAGTGGGTCGTAGATTTTAATATTCACGCTCAATCCGGGGTTTGGATATGGATTTGGGTAAAATTTCTTGGTCCAGTTTAGTTTGTAAGTGTGAGACATTTGATGTTATTATCACAATAGCAGATCTGCTCTAATTATTCTTAGTCCCGATATCCCATTTTCAAAAAAGTTTAATTTATCGAATCAAATTAAAAATGTATATCTGTATCTTGATACATTATTTAAGAGTGCATCAGGGCTACGATATAATTTGTTATAAATATTAATAACCTTGGCCAATTCGTCTTTAATTACACTTTTTTTTTCGTTTTAAAAATCCTCTTCGTCTAAAAAAAAATTTACAAATAGCAAAGGTATATAAAATAATTGAATATCGATTTTCATTAAGCCAGCCAAACCTGGAAAAAAAACATTGAACTTGCTTGGTGGAAAAGATTATCACGCAATGTTTTGAAAAAAAGCTTTTAAAAATTACTTCAATATTATCATCATTGTGAGGGTGAAAATGAAAAGCTATAAAAGTTTAGATCTGACTGCAGAATCTCAATCGGTAATTAACAATAGAAGTGTTAGACCCCGCTATCATCCAAATCTCTAGGTGAAACCCTAGTATACATGAGAAAGAAAGATAAAAAAATAAAGCTAATTGGAACATCGTTTAGCCATCTAAATATGGAGACCTGTCATTTTTTTTTAATCCTAAAGTGATTTTATTATGAAGATTCGTTATTATACTTATATGGATTTATATTTTTCGACTTCGCTACTTTAAGAAATTTATAAATGTGTTGGGGCAATAATTTCCTGAAAACATTCAATATCGTGATAACAAGAGTTAATACGCGAAAGGAATTCCAGGTAATGTACGTGACGCGTCTAACTATCGCGTACTATATTTATAAACGCAGCAAATGTGTATTGTAAACTCGAAGGGGGGGAAGGGGGGGGGGGCTATAGGATGAAAATTAATATAGCATTGTCAAGAGTCCCGAAAGAATTTCTTTGAATCCAATAATTCATTCCATCATCAGGTTGAAATTTCGGGTCGGACCCGGACCGGGGGTTAAAATTTTCTTTATTTCTTTTTAGTCTTATTTTAAAAAATTTTAAAACTTAGCCAAAATAAACAATAATAAATTTAGCCTGATCATGAAAATAAAAATTATAAATTTACAATAACCTTCAACAACTCTAAAAAAAAAATTATTTTTTTTGCTAGTTAATTTTTTTTATAAGTAAGATACCTTTGGCGCGCAATATATAAAATATTTTAAAAATACTAAATTTTTGTCATCTCAGAGAGTAGTATAGATTGGCG